GGGGGAGGGGGGGGGGGGGGGGGGGGGGGGGGGGGGGGACGGAGGGGGAATTCGTCTATAAATTTTGCCCAGATCAATAGATATTGCTTGACTGGCACATCAGTGAGGAAAATTCATCGTATTCGGCAAGAATTATGCCTTCAGGATCTACAATTTTAGGCTTTTAAAAAAAGGAATCTAGGAATTACCGCGACTGTTTTGGTCAATTTTACGCCTTTTTTTTTTGTATTCGCTTGTTCATTCAAACTTCCTTTCTGTTGATGTCTTCTCTTATTCATTTTCCTCTTGTGCTTGTATGGCCGTTGGTCGCATTGCTAGCTCGGGATCGCATCGCATTGTTGCACTAACTTCATCTAAATTTCCAATCCACACTATGTGTTATAGAAATTTTAGAGATACAAACAATAAATATCCCTGGCCAGGAGATTGGAAGAGGACGGAGGCCTGTATCATTTGATGTGCATATACAGACTTATTTCTACCGCACAGGATCAAAATTGCTACAGGAATTGGGGCATTTATGAAAAAATTAGCTCGTTTCGGCATACCAAGCTATTGCAAGACTTGTAAAAGCTTAAAAACGATGCGGTATTTTGCGAGTTTGGAAATTTAACAGAATTTATCACCCGGAAAATTTGTCTGAACAGGATTATTGGGGATGGGGGACAGGGGCCAACGACGAAGATGAAAATGGTCGGTGAGTAAGCTGTGGTTTTTCATTCTGCCAGCTGTTGAAGTTCCTTCAAGTAGCCAGAAATCTGCACATCATTTTCCCGCCCGGCCATCTTATCCCATGCTTACTCGATTGGAACAAAAAAAAATTCTGTTCCATCCCATGTATGTTTGGCTGGAACGAGATGTTCAGGAAAACTGCTTTAGAGAGGGTCATCGATCGCGAAATTATACCACAAGTAGTTACCTCTGGCTCAGTCAATCCTCTGTAAATGTCATTATTTTTTCGGAAAAATCTATCCTAATCTAGCGGTATCAGCGGTAAATCAGGATCTTTTCGGCACTTTGATTAGGTGCTCAACCGGATTTCCCTAAATCCATTCCGTACTGCTCCTTCTTCCCGAAATAGTTTTTTTTTTCTCAGTGATTATGTAATTTTCTTGTGGCAGTTTAAGCGAATTATCCTCATCAGTGGATTCATATCCAGGAAATCCAGCTTTTCGTTAACTCAAACAATACGCCGGGCTAAATTTTCCAGCTCTGCTCCCATATATCTGTTTGCCTAAACTTTTGCTACAATGCGACCAAGCTCGTATGCCATTTTTTATGCAAATTTCCGTTGTTCTTTCATTACTCAACTTTCTTCCAAAATTCAGTTACTTCATCTATCATTTGCCCTTCACGGTAATTGGAGAATGCAAGCGTATTTCCGAAGGCAGTCAATTACGGTCACTGCTTAAGTCTTTCTGCTTTTCGATCAGATTATCGATGTGTTCGTTTCCCGGTAATTGTAATCGTAAACCAGTGAGAGCAGCAACGCACACATTGTACATTTTTCTGTGTATTGTTTCCTGCCCGGTGGTTTGTTTCTCATGATCATTATCATCATTCTTTTATCGACGAAATCATTTTTGGTTTTTTACTAGCGCGATATTTTACTTGCACAGTGACACGCGACATGTGATAAGCTCTCTTGCCTATAAGCTCTTGTGATAAAAATGTCTCATTGTAGTTTACATTTAATGACCAAAAAAAAAATCGAAAAAGCCAAATAGACATCAGCAGGTATAACTTGATTCATCTTTAATTCATAACAACTACTGCTGGTTTCTGACATTTTGTGGAACGCACCGGGCGAGCCGATGCGATCAGGCGTTTTTCCATCAAACTTGAAGCAATTAGGTTAACTGTATGAATGGTTGTCTCTTCACACCTGCCTTGTGCGCTCAATACATTCCTGGTACCCTTAGCACTTCTGGTATCCTAGATCCATAAGTCAACATTGACATCCCCACAGTACTTCTGGCATCTTTTTCGACTTATAAATAAAGGACCCTCTCCTGTCGTTTCCCAGACGCACTTCAGGCGTGTGTAGGAACAAGCATCGACCTTCCAAGTATTAGTCGGTAAGTGGGCAATACGCAGTACGAACGCAATACACGAACAGTACAATATGTGTACAACGAATAATCAGTATAAATACAGTACGCGAGATTGAGGGCACCACTCCATATGGTATTATTCGTATGCAAACGTCCATCCATGACACCTGCCATTTGTAGCATTGCAACTGCATTTTCGTTTCTGTACCTGCTTCCATATTTTTATAGACGCAACATAGACGCATTATTCCGGATGGACCACTCCTTCAAACGTTTGCTGACTTGCACATATACAGAAGCTGCACTTTATACCTGTTGATGGTTGACTTGTACGAAGTGTCAACAACATAACTCCCTTACCGCTTCTGTATGCGCGCTGTGTATTTTACAAAAGCAACATAGGCGCATTACGAAACAGGGAACTCTATCACCGATGTTTACTGCCTTCAATGCATATACAGTGGGTATACCTTACACGTACTATTGCGTCATCTGCATTGTATGCCGACAACCTGACGACAACATCGCTTCCATATCACCACTATGGACACTGTAGAAGCGACACAGCTGGAGTATTTGTATGCTGAAGTTTCTGTGATCTTGATGTTCCATCTCTTGAAAGGGCAAGAGCGCTTGCTAGGCTCAAGCCGTCTCGGACTATAACTGAGCATCAAATTGACTATTATAGCTCTTTATTTCCAAATAATATATACAAAAACAAAACACTCACTGTAACAGAGACCACTTGGCAATTTTCCGGGATACATTAGTACTGGTTACTTTTAAATTCCTCAGCATTTACGGCTCTGTTTTTTTCTAAATAACTGAGGAGGAAATGCACTTCCAACACTTGTTACTTCATCAATCTTATTTTCCTTAGCATTAAATTAGGACATCCAAGATCAACTCAATCAACTATTACTTTAACAAAAAAAGTTTTATCTTGCGAGGCTCTCTGATTCTACCAGTCCCAAGTGGGTAGCTGGGGGAATACACAGCACAATGAAGAGAGCAACTCTGGCGTATCGTACAGGAGAGGGCGCTTTTTGAATCTCACTTTTTCAAGTTAGGACACTGTTTTCAAGTGCTACATTTCCAGTGTGCAAGTGCATTATCCAACTTCTCTTCCCGAAAAGTTCTAAAATCAACAGCACACAAACAAATCGAGCACAAAGATAAGTTCAAAAATCTCGTTGTTATGTAAATATACAATATATAAGTTGTGTTTACTGCTCTTGTGAAATGACGGGTACTGACTGCAGACAACGGCTCAGGGAATGAGGTAGGGCCGATCACTGTTGCGTCTGCTGTGTGGATTCAACCTTATGATATCCGATCTTCTTCATCTCGACAGATCTGGTGGCTAAAGAGGAACGACCTGGAAACTACAGGACAACTCACCGGGAAGCCATAGGCCGCAAAACAAAAAAAGTCGCAGTGATGGGAATAAGTCATACTGAACCGTAAAATCACCAGGAGATTTCTGGAGCGAGTTCATTAACAAAAGGATCGGCGATAGTGAATTTAGTGCTGGCTCCACTGTATACTCTTTAGATCGATGCCTTCCTGTACCATCTCCCACAACGGACTCATTTCGCGTAGCCGTTCCACTTCTCGAATACACTGTTCAGCTGTGTAGTCCACTTCCTGTAATCTGATTGAAGTAAAAAATAGCAAAGAACGATTGTTCCGCAAAGATGTGAAACTCGGCTAAATATGCATCCATTCATCATAAAAAGTGAAATGTGGGAGTGTTTCGATGACTTGTAACGAAAGAGATGTCACATAATGATTTATTGCTTTTGTTAAAAATTGCATAAAGAGCCATTACTGCATGATTATGATGCAACATCCTCGGTCTCCGGTTCAATCTTTGGACAGCCTAACCCATTTAGAGTTAAGCAATCTTCGTGATTTGTGATCACCCGGGTATAAAAGCACTCCTCCCCATCTCCAGCATCTCGTGTCACTGTTTCTTCACACAGTTCTATTCTGGGAAGCTTCGGCTCCCAGAGCTTCGCCGCTTTTTTTATTTCTCCTTTCCCATCCCAGTTTGCTTTGTATAATTACAGTTTGATGTAGAAACTTATATCCCTCGCTAGGTTTTGGCTACACATACACATTCAACCACACAAACACATAGCGCAGGCACGCTAGTCTGACCCGCAAATCTAAGGTCGCGATAAAGATATGCTATCAAAAGTAATCCGAAGCGATTACCTGTTCAGTGGTGAACCTTCCAATTCCGAATCTGACACTCGAGTGCGCCAGATCTTCATCCGTTCCAATTGCTCGTAAAACGTATGAGGGCTCAAGCGAAGCACTTGTGCATGCGCTACCCGACGATAGTGCCACTTCTTTCAGCGCCATCAGCAAGCTCTCACCTTCGACACAAGAAAACGAAAGATTTATGCAGCCTGAAAGTTATTTTAACATATTAGCGAAGTTCTTTTTTTTTCAAGACTGAATTTGTCACGTCTGAAGGTAGTAAGTGAAGTTATAACGAGATACGTCACTACATCAAGCGTATCGAGCAACAAATTCAAGGTCAAAATGCTCATGACTAACCAAGATAAGTCTGTTCCGGATCACCGTTACGTATAACATGTCCCAATTTTGAATAAATACGATGAAGGAATCGTTGTGCCAGTTGTTCAATATGTTTCTTGTCCATTTCCATCTCATCCGCTGCGATGGCGCAAGCCTAAATTGAGCACTTAAAATTACACATTTCCCTTTGTGTAACACAAAAATAAACCGAGAATGAACTGATAAGAAAGTGCAACTTCTATTTTGCCCGAACGGTCGCTGGGGAAACAAGTAGTTTTTTTCTGAAATGCATCAAATGCTTAGCATAGCTATGTCAGGTCTTTCAATCCAGAGCTGCATATCTCAAGCTATAATCTGCCACCTTTTGGATTTGTGCGTGTCATTTTTTCGAATCAATTCCGTATAGTATTTTTTTCTTCTCATCGATTTGCGATATGTACCGGCTATCAGCAAGACGGCATGATAAGAAACAAAAAAAAAAAAAAAAAACTGGCAAAACATTCAAAATCAAAAGAATTACCTTGCCAAGGCCGACAGCAAGCGGTGTCGGGACGGTTCCCGATCGAAAACCCCTTTCTTGTCCGCCACCCGACATTTGTGCTTCCAGCCGAACACGAGGACGCCGACGAACATATAACGCTCCAACGCCTGAAAAACCCGACGACCGGTGTTTGCATTACATATTCAACAGAACCTGAGTGATAAAAGCTGCGCGCATGTAACAACAACACTGAGTACCAAAACTCCATAATTCTACGCATTTTACAGATGCTCTGAGTAGCGCCAGGAAATGACGCATGTGCTTTAGTATTAGCTCAGCAGCTACTAAAACTCGGCTCGGCCGGCGTCATACATGATCTGCGAACGATTTTTTCGGGTGTCCTTACCCCGCTGCGGGATAGAACGCCGGATGCCGCAGGTGGAGTAGCAATTCTTCAGATCTTCCTTATTACCCTTTTTGTTCAGTAAAGTAGTTCTGAAATTCTTCAAACTGCTGGCTATCCCAACCCCCTGTGATGCTTTGAAATCTTTCAAAAGAAGTATTAACGGAATTTTGTAGGAACTGTTAAGGAAACGACGAATTTTACATTGAAAATATTTTATAAAAGCAATACACGAGGTGCTGATTATGGATTAGAAATGAGAAACAACAGATGAACCGCAAAAGAGGTTGTTGCCTGATATTAAAACAGTGTTAAATGACCAAAGGTTGGACTACCAGTAGCACGGAAAAATTCAGTTGAACGCCTGTTTAAAGCTACGTGAACGCAGCTGAACTCGAAACTGAAAAGAATGGAAATGTTGACAGTTTCGAAGCACCAAAGTAATGACAATATCTTTGCTATTTACCTTTGGGACCGTATATTTTATGGCCGCTGATCGACATCAGATCGATGTTCATTTTATTAACATCTATTGGAATTTTGCCAACCGCCTGTGCTCCGTCACAGTGGAAAAATACTTTCCTTTTTCGGCAAATCCTTCCTGCAAATGAATCATGAAAAGATGAAATCAAACGGCAGTAATCTTTGGTCGATTTTTCTGGAAAAACTATTCCGGTTATTCCTATTTCGTTATCCATAAAAAATTTGGAAATAAGCATTAATAAAAAAAATCAGTAAACGCTCGATGGTAATCTGAAACTAATATGCTGCAGAAAAAAAAGTAGGCTTGGCGCAGTTTTGATGCTTTAGCACGGGTCAGTACCAATTTACCGGTAAAAAAAATTGATGTTTGGACAAAAATTATGTTAAAATTTTAGTTTAAGAGAAAACCACGGACCAATTTCGTCAATGGGTTGCTTCACACCAATTTCATTATTCACTGCCATTACTGACACAAGAACTGTTTCGTTTGTTATTGAATTTTCCAATTCCTGAAAA